ACATGTGGTGCTGGTGGTTTGAAGGATCAGCTCTAACGAATTAACCACGATAACGGGCCTTAGATTAAATGTGACTGTAACTGTGTGCTCTCTGCACACAGCTGTCCTGTCATAGTTTGACAGAGATGAACCACCATTCTGTGACACAGCTGTAGAACCCTGAGTGAACTGATTGTTTCTGCAGTTCTAACAACCAACCACAAAGGGAGGCATTGGTGCATGTGGCATCACATTGATGTTTTACATCATTTCAGTAGATCCAGCTTAAAGACAAAGTGTTGCACCACAAACCTTGACCTTCTGTTTTTGTGGCATTTCAATTTGAAAGATTCAATGTTGTGTGTTTGATACACAGGTTATCTGGATGGATGATAAAATCCCCCCACCAAAATTAGATGACACAGCAAGTAGTTTATGGGGTGAATATCTAAAGTAACACACTCAGTATGTGATAGAATAACTTTATTTGTGACTTTGGAGTAAATATCAGTGCACGGCTGTTAATCAGTACCCGGTGGCTGCATGCTTCTGCTGGGCAGCCACCCAGAAACTGCTTGAGTTCCGTTGAACAAATGACTAAGGATTCCCTGAGCCCCCGTTTGATGACAGATATAAAATGAGAAAATACACCAAAGTGAATAACATGCTACAGCTTTACACCTAGCACACCACTACTGTGCTAACCTTATATGGTTTCTTTCCAGTTTGTTGTGTGGCTCGGAAGAAAATTTCTTTTTTTGTGTGTGTTGTGAAATAAAAATGCAACTTTCTCACACACAAAAATTGCACAGTAGGCAGTGGGTCATTTCATTTTGTGCTTTGTAGATGTTTGTTTTGTTTTTTTTGTTTTTTTTTCATGACTAGGGACCTTTATTGAAATTGCTACATCAGCGTAGTAAGTGTGTTTTGTTCTAGTTAAATTAGAAATGTTTCAGCTCTGGCTCAAGGTAGCAGCATTTACTGTTTAGTTTTTCCATCTCAAAAGGCTGTAGTGCCGAGAAGGCCTTGGAGTTATTTTTAAGAGGCTAGTGTTGTTTAAATTGCCTTATTCCATGTTTTCAAGGACCAACGCATTTTTGTTAGTTAACCAACAATAAATACATTTGAAATTGAACCCTACAGCACTCTCCAAAACACAAGACAGAAGCCAGTTTACCAGAAGGCCATATTCACATTTCTTTTATTTACACTTATTAATTTTGTGTTTTGACAGCCAAGCACATTCATTTGTTTACAGTTTTTGTTTTGCTGAGTGCTCAACAGCCTCTGGTCTGAGTCTCTCCTTCAAGTACAACATTTAATGCTGGAGGAATTTGTTCTGTATTAAGGTTTAAGAAATACAATTTACTATTTCAGAAGGACCAAGGTATTCAGTGTATTGTAAGAATAGTCAAACTTACACAAACCATTTTTTACTAAAGAAATATAAACTTCAACTGAATGGCAGTACTGGAATATTCAAAACAGTGGCCTTGATTATTTCCCTGGTACTACCATTTTGTTGACTTTTGTTATGCAGTGGCTGAAGTGCTGCTTCTGTGCTGATCTGCTGTGCTCTTTCTAAGGATGAAATCTTAGGAAAGTGCAGCTCTTTGATAGTTTGTCAGAAAGATGCTCTACAATCCAACGACACCTAATCTACTGCTGAACTGAGTGAGCGGTTGATCCTGTTATGAACATTTAGCAGCTTTGTCCTGCTGCTACTTCATTAATGCCACCACTGCTTCAGAATTTGGGGCAGAGGCACAGTAATAGTCATTCTGTAACCGTAACTGTACCCTAAATAATAAACACCCAAGAGCAACTCCACCCACTGGGCAACATCTGAGGGTATTATAGCCCATAACTTTAACACCTCATAAGGTTTAAGTATTTAACTCATTGTTCATCTCTGCTCAAGTTACCTTCACTGCTGGGCATTTTCCTTTGTCAGTGTGCAGCATATGGCAAACAGAATTAAAGAACTGCAACAGGATCACTTTTTCTAGGATTTTTGTTAGTCATAATGTCATGCATTTTCATGTTTATATAATATAAGATAGATAGATAGAACAAACTATTTCTAAGAAAAATGTAGCTTTGACAGAGCAGTGATTTTACATTTTTTGTTAAATACGTTTAAAGTTATTTATTTTATGTTTCGACAACAAAGCACATTCATTCTTTTGATGTTTTTACTCTGGTCTGATTCTCTTCTTCGAATTGCAGCATGATCATTATTTTATAAGACATCACTGTTGCCTGCCCCACACTCAAAATTAAAGGAGAATACATATATAAAGTACTGTATGTTCCCAAGTCCAGGACTTGTTATCTTGTATCTTGCTGCTGCTAAATAAACTCCTAGTGAAAACACTGATATCTGTCAGTAAGTGACAAATGTGGTCTGTCATTCCACATTGGCATGAACACGTTTGAGTGTATGTTACTGAATGTATAAAGCTGGATAAATAACAAACCTGCTGTGTTTTTTTTTATCACCCATGGCTTGTTATGTTTGGGAGGTTTGGCAGGCACAGCTGTCAAGATAACCCAGGCTGCCCTCTCTGACTCACTTGTAAGTCTTTTTCATTAAGTGGAAGAGAGGAATAGGCTTAGAGCAGTAGCAAAAGGAGACATGTATTTGTGTTAAAGAGGAACAGAAATAGTTTTGTACACAGTGACAGACCAGCTTTGCGTTTCAGCCCTGACTGACAAAAGGGAGACTTGGTTATCCAGCCGGCTTGGGCGCTGTCCATGGCATGGCGTGGTTCTGCTTCCCCCTTACATACAGCAGGGCCTCAGCTGTTAAAGGGTATGTGTGGAGCTGTTTCAGTGGAAATAATGTCACTGAGTGATTATTTTTAATGCAAAGCTTCTACACATATTTAAGAAAGCTATGTCTAACAGGCAGTTAAAGTTTAGCTTAATCACAAAACAGAATTGTCATTTTGCATAGATAATGAAAACAATAATGAATCACATGTCACTTATCATTTTATTGTGTTGGAACAGTTTAATGTTGTAGATTCACCAGGGAAATCACATAGATAATATTAATAAGCAGTAAGACAAATAAATAAACTAGTGTTTATTAATTATGTGTTGCTGTGGTGGGAGGAATCTCAATGGAATCTTGACTCCACATCTTTATGTCCATCAAGATGACATTGATTATCTGCCCTACCCGATCTAATGCGTCATGTAAACCTGTTGTTGGTTGGGGCAATTGGCGCTGAGTCTAAACTGAATAAGGTGTTTATCTGAGAGGTAGAGAGCCTGAGGTGAACTGAATCCCTATCTGTCAAACTGCCAGAGATGGCAGCGATGAGGCACTTTCTCCTTATTTGATGATGACAGAATTAAATGGCAAACCGGTAAACAAACACATTTCTGCACCTTTTTTATGGATTTATTGCCAAATGTAATGTGTATTTGTGATGCGTGTACTTCTGTGGTAGAATATGGGCAATATTGGCCAAATCTGACTTTTTTTTAACCACTGTCTATCAGTGAGTGGTATGAACATTAAGGCTTTACTGCACTCTGACGTTTGGAGCCCTGCCTTATATTAAAAAAAGAGCAGTCTTTTATGGTAGTCCATTTTTTGACCTTTAAAGAGACAGCTACAATTAAACTTTATAAATATTGTCCTGAGGAGTTGTTTGGTCTTTCTGGAGATCCTGAGCTGTTATTTGATCATTGTCTTCTTGATGGTTCCTCTTCCTTGCAGCAGCCGTTTTTATCAGTGTGCCCAGAAATTTCCTTTTCTTTTCTTGAGATTGATTCACGCAGTAGTGACCTGTTAAGGTGTTGGCCCTTAGGCAACAACTTTATTGTGTCTCTCTGATAGACACAATAAAGTTGTGGCTAAAGGATATGGTAAAACTCAGTTTGTCCAACAGGATAATTAGTGGTGATGGCTGACGTAGTGGTAAGTAGGAGTGCAGTCATCTAAAATATCTTGCTCCAGAATGTTTACTTTAATGTCTGACAATATTTTTAATGTTGTGGTTTTCTCGTGGTCATGTGTTTCATTGGTCTGTTGTCAGATCTTTTTAATCTGGCATATGAGAACACTAGGTTAATCTGGCTAATTAGACAGTGTTACCCAGTAGTTGTTTATGCAGTTCAGTTTTAATTTATTACGTGGTATGTGTTTGCTGTGAAGTAATGTCAACAAAGATGTGCTTGAATCACCAGAAAGCATCTGCCAAGTGACATTTATTATCATTGCACTCACTACTGCTAATTTTATGTCACAAACAGATTGACATTGCCTTTAAGTAAAGAATTTGACTATTGACTATCAATATTGTCATATTATATTAATTCTCAGCCAAGAATAGTAACAGTAGTTAAAGGAGATACCAAAGACACATTGTCTAACAAACAGTTAAAAAGCCACGGTTCTCAGATTCACAGAAGTGAACTTATTGGTCCTCAGAGTGACTCAGTCATGGCACAAGTATGTGCCACAGAGGCCTAAAGCATCTGGTGTCAGTGATTAGTTCCTCCTCACTGGTTTGAGTGCTGCTAAATACTGGTGTAGTTTTTAGTTGGAATTGCAACCTGTACACGCCGCCTTCCTCCTGGGAACAATGAACAGCTGTTATGAACCTAGGCGCTGAGGATTTATGTCTGAGATTGGAAAAGAAATTGTACAGCCAGCAAATCTCACAGAGTCATCCAGAAAAAAAAAATCTTGTATGATGAAAGTTATGCAGATCTATTTATGTTGGATTTTCTAGATAAACCGAAGTTTTTGTTGATTGAGAAGTTCTGGTTTATACTTTGAGTCACTGCATCATTACTTTATTTATTTTAAAATTCCAAGAATTTTAAGAATTAAGAATTAAGCCCAACAAAAAAGAAGCTATTGCACATGCACTATGGTGTCTAAATAAACCTGTAAGTGACATTTATTGATCATATCTGTCTCACTCCCTTCTCTGTATGGACTGTCATAACCACTGCTGAAGGTGTGTTTTAACCCCTGTTCATATCCACAGTATGGGTGTTATTAGGTGAGCTAAATGTCACTGATGACTCAAGATGGTTCTTAGTGTTTCAGAGGGCTTCTTGTCTGTTGTCGTCATAGCGCTACAGCAGTGGCCCTATTTTCAACTTCTTTCTTTAGAGGCTTGTTTTTCCAATACCCAGAGCAGATGGTTTGTGTTTTCTACGGATGAATCACTGAGCCGGGTACATTTTGTGTGACTGGCCTACATCATGTGAAGCTTGTATGGATGCATGCTCCTCTGCATTTGTTATGAAAACACGGTTCCTACAGGTGAATGACTTAATTGGTAAGCCATATAAAGATTTATCACTGAGTGTTTTTGTTTGTGTTTTTTAATATCCTCAGACTCTGGAGGAGCCCCCCTACTTGACAGTAGGGACAGATGTGAGTGCCAAGTACCGCGGGGCTTTCTGTGAGGCCAAGATTAAGACTGCCAAGAGGCTAGTCAAGGCCAAGGTAAGTCACATTTCACAGAGCTTTCAGATCTAAAATTAAAAATGGTATTGTCTGTGTAATGTGTCACGTAGAGGGGAGTAGGGTCAGGATTTCATGTCTTTGTTTTATCACTTAGCATAGCTTTGTTATACATGATCAGTTGTTATTTCCATATTTAAAACCAGTTGTCCAACACAGTCAGAAACTTTAAACGAGTTTTTGTGCATATCACCAGCAAACAACGACAGCCTTTTCTAACCCCTTTGTTGGCAAAGGAAAGGGTTTTTAATTAGCTATGTTTCCATGGTCAATGATAGTTTTTTTCAATGAATGAGTTTAAAGTGCTGATTTGTGAATAAAACCATAAAACTAACTATGATTCAGTGCATCGTTGTTATGGGTGCAATGTATTCCCCGGTTATGTTACTGCTTTGAAATGCTTCTGTTGCTGGAATTAAAATCATACGGTTCTTTACAAGTCCTGGTTGAAAGGAACAGATGATTTGGTCACTTGCTGGGGCATTACAATTTAATTTTGTTTCCTAATGGGGCTGGAGCTGTAATACATTAATTGTGATCAATTAATAAAGAAGACAATGTGTGAAATAATAATAATAATTTAATCACCGTGTTTGAAAGTTTCATTTGAATAAGAATGTCCTTATGAGAGTTTGGTGAAATCATGGTTGTGTGCAATTTTTGCATCAAAACATTTCTGTATTCACTAAACTAAGCAATGCTAAACTAGAATGCTTGAAAGCCTTAAATGTTAGACATAATAGTTGTAATTGCACTGTGAGATTGCTCTTATTTGTTAATGTAGTGGATGGACATACCCTGAAAAATATACTGTAGTTGAGAACATTTTTGTTAAAGGTAGTATCTCTTTATTCATTGCTATTTGATACCATTTTGATAATTAAAAATAAAAGAGTATTAATTACAAAGCTGAAGCAGGTTAACTTTTACAATGACAACCCACCATTAGTAGTGTCCACTCATCACATCCTTAAGCATCAGCAAGGTAATGCAAAGTATTACAGGTAGTGTTAGGGTTTGTGGGAGAAACTAAGGCTGAAATACTTTTTTATTTGCTCAGGTCTCTATATTTCTCTTGAAACAAAATCCAGCCAACACTATTCTGGCAAAGATTTTTATCTTGTATTCTGGTCTGCCAAATGAAATCATCAAATGATGTGTGTCATCGTTTGATTGTACCAAAAACATGACAAAGTATACGATCAGATGCTCTCAGTTTAAATATTATGGGCTAAAATAGAGAGGACAGAAGCGTCTTGGCTCATGAACTAATTACCATACTAATTGGAGTGTGATGTTTGTTTTTGAATAGCTATAAAGTCGATGTGAGCTCTGTTACACAAACACTGAAACATGACATTATTCTGTGCTTGTTGTGAAACGAAATCTCACACTGTAATTAGCTGTTCTTTAGCTCGTTAAACTCGGCCGCTGATCAAAGTTGAATGTTCGCCTCAGCACTCCTTACTGGAATCATGTCAGTGATTTAAAAAACCAACAGTCTTCTTTGTGATACTTTGTCATTTTATAATAATGACTTAATAAAGAACTGTAAAAGGTGAATTAGCAGCATGTCGTTACCGATCAGAGGGAGCGCTCTAACATGCTGTGATTAGTCATGACAACCTTATGGCACAGTGTAAAAAAACACAATACTGCATATTTAACAGGTTCCATCCTGATGATGCCTTTTATCATTATTTTATTTTATTTTAATGAAAAGATTATTTCTTTAGAGGAATCCATTGTGGGAATTCCGTGTAAATATTGGCCTTGCATCGTCAACCAGATACTTAAGTAGTAATGTTGGATATTGTTGTATTATCTTCCTATCTGTGTTTTTAAAATTATTATTTTTTTTATTTTGTTTATTTTACATTATGGAAAATTATGAATAAAATCAAATCCAAAAGTGGAATGTGTAGGGTAAAAAAAAATCTATCAAATGAGCGTTGCTTTTCATTGGCTATAATATGTCACAAATCCAGTGAGGGCTTGTCTTTTGTAAGGGTTGTGTTCTCTGACTCCTGTAATTCGATGGTCTTCAGTTTAGCAGCCTCTTGGATGAGAGAAGATATAGTTTATTCATTTTAGTCATTTGTGGTTACCGGCATTTAAAGAAAAACAAAGTCCGAAGTGCACTCAATATAAGTACATTCTGACTGATTCTACACTGTTGAGTCACATATTGACTCCAATTTAAGCAGGCAAAAAAGATCTATATTACTCATTGGCCCATATTCTTCTTCTTCTTTATTGACTTCTAGAATATAATCTTTTTTTCTGGTGGAAACAACTTGTTTTTACTGTTTTACTTTGTTCTCGCAGCAGCTTGTTGCATCAAAAGATCCCGACATTGAGAATTTTATTGAGCGCTTAGAGTGAATATTGTCTACAATCCTTGAATTAAGTCATGTCTATGAAACAAAGACTTTTAGACATTTGCAGGTTTTTTTTTTTATTAATTAGGCAGTATTCTGTTTCATTGCATTATTTTATATCCTTTTTTGACATTGTTTCCTCACCTATCAACGAAAATTCAGGTCACGTTTAAGTAGCATTTAAAAAACTCTGTTCTGTATAAGAATTATTTATAAGACTGAAAACTCTCTATATTAAATGAATACCCCACCCTAAATCAGCTGTGTGTTCATCCTCAGGAATGAGGTCTGTTTTTTTTTTTTTCATTTAACCACAGACAAACTTGTCTCTGCTACAATATTAAATATGATCTCCTTCACTACTTACTCCTTCTTCTTAATTGTAATTTAAGCACCAGCAGCATTTTTGGTTGTCTAAAATTAGATGTGGATTTTGAGTAACTTTTCCGTAACTGCTAATATGAAGTCTTTATATGTGAATTTATTTTTGTGAATAAGTATAAATGGTGATGGAGTTTATGTAGAGTTTTGAAGATCCTTGGGCAGAGGAGGTTTTTTTTTTCACCAGGGCACTTTTGATGATGCCTACCCTTCAGGTTTCTGTGCAGCATCATCACATCCCTCCTGTGAGTGGGATTCTGTTAGGAGAAGGATCCCTTTATTTCTCTAGACACGAATGTCATTATCTTCATAATTGATGTATTGCTGCCTCAGGATGGCTTTTATTTCTTTCTGTGCCCTTATTTTATGACCTGACAGTACAGCTGCATCTCACAGTATATTTTTTTCAGTCATTGTTTTGATTCTAGCTTGAGACTCAGTAATTGCTGTTCTTTTTTTCTTCTTTTTTATCCTTTTTGCTGTTGTGTGATTCTAAAGCAGACTCGAGAGCCCCTCTGAATTACCTTGGGCCTACTTTTTCAGAAGTGGTTTACTTTTCTGTCGTTGTGTGCTAGTTGAAATTAAACTAAATCACTCAATAACAGTGAAATCAGCACTCCATTATAATTACAATACTGTTTAACTGGCACATGGTCTCAAAAATGGCTTTGATTTCCCTCTGGAGATGGAGAGAGAAGTACACGGAGTATGAAGGGGATTTTGTAACGCTACACTGCTTCACTGCTTTGACACTTCTAACCAATGCTTCTAGGATGGTTGATTCTGTGTGATCCTGAGTGACAAAGCAGACCTTATGGTCTTTTCTGTCACTTAGTGTTACCAGGTTACCATGCAGATGTATGATTACCATAACGTTATCAAATTATGATCTACCGCAGCTCATTTAGTGGAAGCTGTAGATGCCCAGAGGGGGGATGGTCAGTAAGTGAAGCCCCTATAATTCAGATATCCACTGCAGCTGGTAGCAGCAGTTGCAGCACAGTTGTCAAATGTTGGGCAGCCACTCAACAACGCCTGAAATGAGTCTCAGTATTTTATAAAAACACACACAAATGCTTCCTAATGCCATACAATGTGTCACTGTGTGACTGTAGCACAGTTCATTTCACTGGCCGCCTATAGCAACACTGTCTAACTGCTAAAGTCTATCATTATAATCAGTGTGGTAACAGTTGTGAGGTCCAGCAGTGTTAATAAGGATGTACTTCCTCTCAAGTGGTGGATTGATGTGGCCCGGTCAGGCCTTTAGGGAATTGATTGTTTATTCTTGTTACTGATTCCTCACCCCTGTTGCCTCTCTCTTCGCAGGTGACCTTTAGACCAGATCTGTCAACAGCTGAGGTCCATGATGAACATATCAAAGGACCTTTAAAGGTAAGACGGGAAGGATTTTTAAAACTAATGATTTGTACCTTGTCAATCAACATCCCCATGCCGTCCTCATATTTTTGTTTTTGTTGTTAAAACTTAATTTTGGACAATGAGTTTAAAATCTTTATCTCCATGCTGAGACAGCTGTTATACTGCACCCTGGTGGCCAATGGGTTAGACATAGAGTGAACTGATTTATGCTTCCTCATTTGTTGTGTATAAAACTGTCAAAAACAACTGTCCATGTCATCTGAGGCACTTGTTGAATCTCTTCCTTAGTCATTAACAATTTCAGTTTGTTTTTGCAACCTTTAAGCAGCAAGTTGTAATGCTGTGGTTTAAGAGTTGAGAGCACAGGCGCAACATAAATGATTTGTATGTTGTAAGAGTAATCCCCTTAATCAACAGAGTACAAGGCTACTGAGACTCAGAGCACCAATGAACAGCCTGCCAACTGTAGTGGATTCAAAGCAATGTGGCAAAACTTGAATTTTGGCCCAATTTGTTATTTTCACAACTACACAAATAACTGTTACAAATATGTTTAAATATTCTGTTTCATATTACAAAAATATTTCATGTAAATCATTACCTTCATTTGTCTGTGTCCAAGGGGGAAATAGAGGATTTAGCTACACTCGCTAACTTCTCCGTGGTGCTGTACTGCCTTACATGCTTTGGATTGCTATACCATTGACTCCTATTTAAGTTTATAATAAATGTCTATTTTTTTAATTATTATTTCATAATCATGTTGCTTTTCTTTTGCTTTGCGTGTTCTTTTAGGACTCATTTAGTCAAATTCCCCTAAAAATAAAATTTGAAAAGGCTCAAGAGCATCAACTAATGACTCTTGGTTTTTTTATTAAATGCCAACACAGGTTTTAATGGAGCACTAAGTGGGTTCATTAACTTGCAAAACAAGTAAGATGATTATAATCAGCATACTAGAAATGTCAAACAACAAAAGTGAATCTGTCTTACAGGTGGGTGCTGTGGTAGAGGTGAAGAATCAGGATGGAGTTTATCAGGAGGCCACCATCAACAAGCTGACTGATGCTAGCATTTATACTGTCGGTAAGTCAATGACAAATCACCTGCTTTTCCCGCTCTCCCCAAGAATTACAGCAGATTCTAAAAACAGGTTTCTGTTCAATGAAATTGTCATTGTGGATTCAATTAGAATTTGCTGAGTGAATCCCACGTGGGAGATGTTCACTTGTCCCGGGAGCAAAAGGTCAAGTGTAGACATGTGATGATAAGGAATAGATGGGAGGTAAAAATAACACAGAAGACCAAATATACCAGAAGTAGTAGAGGTAAAAGTGATGTTTACATCATAAACAATATACTTGATTCAGTGTAAGAACAAATGCAGTACTATGGGAGAATCCCACTGAGGTATTACGTTGTTGTATGCAAGGATGAATCATTACAAAGTAATGGATATGTCAAGTAAAGGTGTAAGAGATATGACATACCAGTGTTGTACTAAAGATTAATTGTTTGATTACAGTGTTAATGTTGCAGTGTACTTGTAATTATATCATGAGTACACAGATTTTAAAATAACCTGAGTTATTTTGAAGAGTGAAATGGGTTTAGATAAGAAGCTGATTTAGAACAAAATTACTATTGATTGATCATTCCTTCTCAGATTTTTTTTTGCCATCTAAAATAAGAAAAAGATGATCTTAAGTTTCCATCCTACCACAAGGACACAGTATATTCAATATGTGAAAATCTGAAGAGAAAACATTAAGATTTTTTATTTCTAAATCTTCATTATATACGAAAATCTACAATTTAATAATTGTGTTGAATGAACAGTGAAGGAGTAGAAAATGTATTTCACATCGTTCAGCTATGTGTGTGAAGCTGGAGCTGTGCTCTGCTGCCAAGCAGCAGCCGTTCGTCTCCTAAGAGCGCCCATGGGCTTTTCCTTGTCTTAAACTCTCATCTTTTCATTCATCAGCACCAAAGCAGAAGAACTTTGGTGAAGAACAAGTTTTTTTTTAACTTATGTTTTGACGTTTCCCCCAAGTACATTCATGTTTCAAATTATGCATTTATTAAAAAGAGCTCTTTATATTTTAGTGTTTTCTTGGTCTTTTAGTTCTGTCAGTTTTAAACATAAATTAATTATAAAAGTGTTACAATATTTATCATAAAAACTTCTCCAGTTGCTCTTGTATTCTAACATTTGACCCTTTATTTGATTGTGGAGACTCTCCAAAATCAAATAGGGCCATGAGTGAAGAGTGACTTTGTTGCTTGCCGGAGAAGAATTCTCAAGAATAATATTTTCAGTGTAACATGAAACAAGCAGACATTTTGTAGCTTGCATGTGTTGGTGGACTCCTGGCCTACATACTGCAGCCTAATTGTTCTCGTCCCTCATCTCTGCAGTGTTTGACGATGGCGATGAGAAGACCCTGAGACGTTCCTCTCTCTGCCTGAAAGGAGCGCGTCACTTTGCAGAAAGCGAGGCAAGTTCTGTGATGTCCTGCCCAGCTTTCCCAGTAGTCTCACTGAAAACTGAAATCAGAAGAGGTTAAATTAAATTTAGATAGAAAAGTAAATGGAAATTTGCAGCTTTGTGTGAATTTCCCCAGTTAATGTGATGATTACAATTTTGTAGGGACATGTAAAAAATAGGATTAATATTCTGTCTGCAAATTTAGTTTCTCACATAGGTGCACTGAGGCTCATTACTGTCGTTCCTCCTACAGACACTTGACAGACTCCCTCTCACCAACCCTGAGCACTTTGGCACACCTGTCATTGGAAAGAAGGGGAACCGCGGGCGACGATCGAACCCAGTGTGAGTGTTGTCTTCTGCCTCCGTATGACCTGAAGGGCTGCCATCAAGGCTAATGGATTGGGTGTCTGTACTGCTGTTGGGGAGGGATTTTCTCTGCTCATCTGCAGTTATCTGTACACCAATTTTTGAGCGTGCTGACAGCAGTTAAAGTGAAAGATTTACTCTCATCTCCGTCCTCTTATAAACAGCCCCTCAGGCCTAGGAGAGGACAGCCTACTCACTTCCTCCAGTTCCTTAATCACGCCTGGCTCTTGTGTGTGTGTGTGTGTGAATGTGAAGGTAAACTAGTGTAACTCAACTTGGTTCTGCAATATGTAGAGATCTTTTCTTCCTCTTTCTTCCTCACCTTTGACTCAAGTGTTCCAGTTGCCCCCCCCCCCCCTCCTCCACCCCCCCCATTTGTTGTGTCCACTTCTGGACTAGTGCAGGGATTTAAAGTCTAAAGGATTCCTTTGTGTGGATGGATGTAGATGTGGCTCCAGTCTGTCAGGAGGAACAAATGTTGCTAAATAATCTCATTGACATCCTATGCTGATTGCACTTAAGAGAAGTCAGTATGGCCCTGAACATTGATGCAGTATAGATTTAGAGCAGTCCCAGCTGCACATTAGCACCCTGGACCAGTTGTCCTCCTGTGAACTTAATGGTCATAATTGTTTAATAACAGGGACTCAACACACACCTGCAGTAAAATAGCTCCACTGCACATCATTTCTGTCTGTAATCCAGCAATCCAAATGGATTATTTGAAAACACATTTCAACTGCAGGGCCACAAGAACTTTCTGAGATTGAAAGAATCCAACTTGGACTATTGTTAGAGACGCCACAACACAATAAGCTTTTTCCAGTACTATGAAACAGTAACTGGTTTTGCAGTATTACTAAAAATCAAAGTAACCAGGATAAAGCAGTAAAAGATGAATGGACAACGTTTTCCCATCGTTTTTTTTTTTTTTTGAGCAACACAACAACAGATGACAACAGCGTTCTTTTAAATACTGCTGCATGACAGAGACTAATAATGACAAGATGTTCTTGAAGCGTTGCCTTGTTTACAGGGGTAGATATCTGTCACGGCCCCCTTTAAATCACAGGGCGAGGGCTGAGGAGAGAATTAAAATGTGAAACGGGATTTGGTCCTAAATGATTTATTCTGCTCATATTGGTAAATAATAATAAAAAGAAATATTAGTCCTTCAATTTAGTTTCTGTCACAGTGGAACTGAACTATAAGCTAGTAATAAACACAGTTTATAATATTTGCAGATATGTTGCATTAAAATAGTTAATAGTCAGTGCGACATCAAACACACCGTGTCGGTTGTTATTGTTTGAGTAGCAGCAGCAGCAGCAGCAGCAGCAGCAGCAGTGTCGTGTCTGATGTACTTTGGTATGTTGTGCCAGACGGTGTCACTAATCATGTGTGGGTGTGTTAGCATACAAAACTGGCTTTAAGAGAAAAAGAACTGAGTGGACTCATCACCTCAGGGCTGATTCTGGTGAATGAGCTCATCAGACCAGCAGGCTTCAGTCTCTACTATGATCAGGGTGGTTTACTAAAATATACTTTATTTCTGAGCAGTGCAATGGCTTTATGCAACAGCAGTTAATTGATAATAAAAATAGATGATGAATGTTTCTATGAGGATTTTTTAAAGCAGCAATGGCCACCCCTCGCACCCCCCACCCCACTGTTCCTTCACCTCTGCTGTTCCTGCCTTTTCTATTTCTGTCCTCGGTCTTATCAGTTTGTAAGTTATTTATATTTACAGTGATACTCTCTCTCTGTGTGTCTTTCTCTCTCTCTCTATGTCTCTCTCTCTCTCTCAAACTATTGTTTCCTTTTGGTGGATACTATAACAAGTATTGGCAGTATCTCAATACTTATACTACTAATATCCAAGTGTTACTTTAAAAATGTCTTCCCCTTTGTCTGTGTGTGTAGAACAAGTATCAACAGGAACCAGTGTTAACTTTGCACATAATGGAGGTTAATTTGGACTAATTTGCCTATTGATGTGAACTAGTTTTCTGTTAAAGTCATTCAGTTATATTTTGGAAAAAAAAAACAACCTTGCTGTTTAGTATATTAACATGACCCAGTTGTTGAATAATACATGGGCCTGTCCCAGTTCATTTATTTTGCCATTGAACATCAATGAGAAGGAAAGGAGTTCAACACGATACCGTATATTTGGAAACTTGATCAAAAATGGTCATAAATGTCCAAGGAAAGATTGGTGCTTCCCTAGAATGACTAATGTGTGGCGGCCTGCCACAAAATCATCATCTTTAAAAACAAATTACAGTTCAGTGTACTTCATTCATCACCCTACGTTGCTTCCAACTCTGTCTTTTTGATATACACTAAGTGACAGCTGATGTGTCTGTTTCAGGTCTACAGATCAATAAACATATTTTGTTTAATCTGTTTATGCCCAACTTTTTCTCCTAAAAGCTTGTGTTAGTGAACAGGGAAGAGTGAATCCAAGTGTCGGAGACAGAACAGCAGCTTATGTTTCCTGCTTCATTCAGGGGAATTAACCTTTAAGGGTAGAGGCAACAGCACAACCAACAAGTTTCAGACTTTTATTGTTGCGTCTGACCTAAACCACAGCCCTATTGATATAACAGACAGAATTAAGCCCTGCTACAAGAATGAATCAGTCTTGGCAGAGAAACAGTGCAGACGTGCTCCTTGTTTCTTTTTTTTTGACTTTCATTGTAAGTAACTCTTAACGCAATCAGAAAATTTGAAGTGTAAATATTTAAAAATAGTTTTAGGTGCTTCCATGAGTTGAGCAGTACTCAATATAAATATTTGTCCCGTTAAATAGGACATCAAATCCTAACTTTAAATAAACACATCACAACCCTCATGTTTGTGGATCTAAATTTTAAAATTACTTCTTTTTTTTTACTTTTTTCTCTCACAGCCAAGAAGAAGAGTTGTCATCATCGTCCAGTGAAGAAGAGGACAGCGATCAACGGCCAAATGAAGACATGTTTGGTAAAGTGGTCTGTGTGGAGGGGGTTGCCACCGGAGACAAAAAGAAGACCACATGGTATCCAGCTCTGGTGAGTTCAAGGCCTCCTTCCTTCACGCCTTTTACTGTAAACCAACAGTGTCCACTGCTGCGGGTCGTCTGGTTCACTCTCAGCATCTAATGCCTGCTTGTATAACCTCAGCATTTTGCAGGATTATGCTATTGCGCTGCACTCACAAAGAAATGTGGCCATCTTCAGTTGAAGAGCCTGCTCCTAACAATAAGGCCCATTTTAAATTACAGCCATTGTGGCCTATATTTGATACTTTTCATCAATAAACAGCCTGGGTTTTATCTGAAGGAAACACAAACAGAATGTATTTTCCCCCAATGTGAAAATAGTGCAGCACAAACATTGACTCGATGTTTTCAGTCTTCCCCAATCAATTCTCCACCCAGCCCTAACCCTCAGCCAATTATGTCACACAGTGAAATTGTTTATGTAAGTCTTCCACATAACACTGGGACTGTGTGAGAGGACAGAAAGCTGTGACTTTAACAGTGTTGTCAGCCTGGCCCCACCTCCACTGAGAGTTGTTCCTGCTTAATGGATCTCCGTGCTGCCATCTGATGACAGCTTAGAGAAGTGCAGTTCATTGTGGCTTCTCATTGTGTACTCTCACTCCTCAGCTATAGACAGGATGAGAACACTCTCTTGAATAAACGTTTTTGCAGGAACACAGCACGTGTGCCCAAAAGAAAATTACATCAATGCAAAATGTGTTCTCGTCGTTGTAAAAGCATCCACCCTCCAGTTGTAGTGACTGACCTCACATTCAGACGGAGTAGAGTCGTGCTCAAGTGTCTCCTCCCCCCTCGTCAGAGCCAAGCCTCTAATGAACATCTCTGTTGTTATGCTCAGTTCAAGTAAACAGCAGATGCACGTGTTGTCATTGAGGATTTCTTGTCAGTGTCTCTGTTTACAAGCTGCAGCCCATATGTACATTCAGTGGAGGTTCTAAAATGCATCATATAAATGTCTGCCATACTTTTTGCTTCATCATGCTCAAATAGAGGCTGTATTAAAGAACACCAGCCTACAGTGGTTGAACCTGGGCATAGAGAACGTTCACTGTAAAACTTGTTAGTTTTCATTTTCTTTTGACGTACACAGCTTCATACTTGCTGCTCTAAAATCAACCTGTCATCTTGACAGTCAATGAGCAGTTTAAGCAACATTTGACTGACTAACCATTGATTGTTTCTGTGCATGTGTTACAGGTCATTTCCCCTGACTGTCATGAAGACGTGACTATAAAGAAGGACAATATCTTCGTCCGCTCGTTCAAAGATGGAAAGTTGTAAGTGTGGCTGAAAATGTATTTTCCCTATAAGCTTCATTCAAGATTCAACTCATAACCCAATTTGAATCTGTCAATAAGTAAAATGTAAATTTGGACATATTTAATAACTACATCATTGGTTAAGTTTGTTGATGGTCTGAGACAGGCTGAGTTTAGAGGTGGGGTTACAACAGCAGTGACCTCCAACCATTTATGTTTCCAGTGGTAAGGGGCAGTGGTAAGGGGCAGGATGGACAGAATTAGACATAGATAGGAGAAATAGTCAAGAAAGAGCCCATAATGAATTCATCTATACGTTGATGTACATTATACATTGAGATTGAGGTAGTGTAACATGGGCAGATGCTTGCTTAATACAGTATATGGGGATTTGTGCATAATTAAAATTAATATCTATCTATTTTGGTGTGGCTGTTAAAGATTACACAATCATTTGCCTTTCTTGCTTTCTTGACAATCCCGGGATCAGCCTGCCCACGGCTTAGAACCAGACAGACGAGACTGTTTTGTCTGACAAAAAATAAGAAATACTTCCTCTCTGTGTTTGTATCTACGGCCTCCCTGTATGTGGGTAGAGACAGGCTACTGCGAACATGAATAAATTGTAACTGCTTCTTTTTTGAGTGATGTAGAGATAACCTTATTGTTGGATTTAATTCCACTGATAATAGATCAGTCTTAAACCTGTGTTTCTTCATTGATACCAACCAGCGTGACTAAGCTGTAGCCTTAGATCACACAGAATGAATTTTTCTTTCAGAGAGTGGTGAGATTTTTTGTATAATAAGTGGATAATGAAAGAGTTGATGAGAGGCGTAGACAGTGATGAATAAATGATAAATCAGAGAAGAAATAATCCGGTGACGTATGTTCTGTTTGAGCACAAATCCTGGTTCTCTGTTGTTTTGTTTTTTTTTTATGCCTGTGAATCATGCAGGAGCAGCCGTCCTTTCTTTATAACAGCAATCCAAGTTTACTCATTGAAATCAACATAGTGTAATCATGAGGGGAGTGCAAGTAAAACGTAATGCGAGATGTCAGAAAGTCCATTAATATTGATGGGATTCTCAGGTTTGTTTTTGCCCAGTGCTTGTGCTTTTATGTGAGAGAAATAACAAAGATCAAAACGTTGTTGCTCTGCTTTTACCCGTGTCTAACGTAATGTTTCAGTCTGATACGTTGGCTGTTTTTTCTTTCTGTACTAACTGAGGTTTGACTTGACATAGTTTTTTTTTTTTCATTTTAAACTGTGACCTAGCTTTTGAACAGTTATTCAGACACAGTATAGTGACTGCTTAAATTTGCAGTACAATTGAAATCTTTTGCTTACATCAACAGACAGTCAGAATTCTCCCAACACCGCTCGTCTCTGCCCTATTTTTCTTTTTATTCCTGTTATTTTCAGGTGCTTGCCATTCTTTTTAAACACGCAAACCCACACACAGCATTTGTCATTGTTTGTAATTGTCCTCTTTTATCATTTTTGTCGGCTGCGTCCTCTTTATTGTCGATATGCAACCTGCTGCCTGTGTGTCTTTCTGTTTATTAATTTTGATGACAAATTCCATCCATGAGTCACGAGACCCTCATCTCAGTGTTGAGAACGGAGCGTTCACTTATCTCTGGACAGTGTTGATGTCAACGTGCCGTTCAAATACAATGGCTTAGGAAAACATTTTCTTTTAGAGAGAGCAAGGTCACATGCAGAGAGGGAGATGGGAGGTGAAAGGAAATGGGTGTTCGTTTTTGTTCCATTTGGCTACCATAGGGACATTGAAAACAAAGCTTTCCCTGCTGTTTTTTTGACCTGCAAACCCGTAGTGTTTCTTCTTCTTTTGTATCATTTGTAACTATTATTTCAAAAAAGAACAATATAATGTTTAAAATGGAGACTGCTAGTCCATAGAACAGGCACAAAGGCATAACTAGTTAGCACTCTGTAGATATAGCATTGTAAGCTGTTTGGACACTGTCACTGAGCCTGTGTAGTCTATTCAACAGTTCAAAAACACACAGGATTAGGTTAATGCTTCAAATATACATTGACCACAGGTATGCGTGTGTGTATGTGTGTGTGTAAATGGTTGTTTGTCTTTCCATGTGACTCTTTGATTGACTGGTGAACTTTCACCTGGTGCCACCTTCCCACCCCCAATGTCCCTAAAAGGCAAGATGAATGTAGTACTGTGACGCATGTGTGCGAATATTTAGGAGCTAAATTATCTATTTATCAGGTTATCTGTTTTCTTTTTAATGACCAAACATTACATGGACTTTTCTCTGAGCAGTTGCCGCTTCATACAGTCTAATGACGTTGCTTGGATTCCTGTACACCTAGTTTATATCATTTGTCTTTTCATTAAAGTTATTGAATTGGTGTGCATAAACACAGTGACATGACAGTCTAATAGCGCAACCATCGCTTTTTAGAAAAGGCTGTCTTCAGGTAATGGCTTTTCTGTGTGAGCCTGATAAGTTGTAATATCTTTTTTAAATTCACTTCATAGCAAATCTAGTCATTGGATCAACTCAACTGCCTGCAGATACCACAGCAAATCATCTCTCCGACACACCAGCCTGGCCTAACTGCTTTCAGCTTATGTGCTCTGCTGATCCATCTATCTACCACATCGCACACACTACGGCTGGCTACTGCAGAGATGTTGCAGGAAAAAAGGCTGTGAATCAGCTCCTGACTGTTGCTGCTTAATGTTTGAGGTGGTCACTGGTACTGCGCTGTAAGATGAGAACAGTCAGACACTGTGTCTTGTCAGTGTTTAAATCAACAACAGTTCAGGGTAGTTACTCTTTAAGCTAGTTCACAATTTATTTTTATAGCCTCTCACTTATTTCAGCCAAATAAATTCCGAGTGGTTTGTTTGGAAGGTTTTCTCTTTTTGATTGCGTTCGAACTACGCAATCGAACATTTAATAGCTGTTCTACATTTTAATCAGTTGTGTTTTTTTTTTTTGCAGTCACATGGTGCTGAAGAAGGACATCCGTGAGATCAACAGCGACTGTCCACCAAAAGCAGATGCAGGGCTCAAACCAGGTGAGCTACAAAGTTGGAGTGAAAATCTCTTAAACTGCTGCAAAGCTGGTACAGAGCGTGACATCTGGTGGCCTGCCTGTCTTTGTGTTGACACACTTGGCAAAAAATGCCCATCGCATTGTTCACAGTGAGGGAGTAAAAAATAAGAAAAAAAAGAAAAGTTTTGTTTTTGTTCTGGGGAATAAAGCAGTGGAGAGTGCCTGTCACTGTGTAGTCTATTTTTATTTGAAGTTATCTCCAAGCTTTTTATAAACTGCCTTTTTTTTTGCTTGCTGCGGGATTTTAACTGTGTTAAAATTACATTTTGGAAACCCTTTCTGTATAATACAAGGCTTGGGAGTTGGTTGACCAACGATTTTGATACTTTTTTTCCAAAGTCCTTTAAATATGGTCTTTGTGGAATCATGAGCTACAATTCACTACAATTTTTAACTCGATGTAATGTTAATTTACATTTTTGGTGTGTGTGTGTGTGTGTCTGAGACAGCGCTGGACGCAGCCTTTGAGTTCCACAATCAGCTGCTTGTGCCTAGCACCTGGAAAACAGAAGTGAAAGAGGAAAGTTCAAGCAGTGAGGACGATGAAGATGATGAAGAGGAAGAGCAAGAGCAGGATGCCAATGGCGAAGAAGAAGAGGTAGTGGCCCAATTTCATACCCTTATAACCTCAAGATTACAAAAAAACAGAACTGAAAAATGTTCTCTCTGTCACAGGAGGAAGTGGAACCGTTCCCTGAGGAAAGGGAGAATTTTTTACAGCAGCTCTACAAGTTCATGGAGGACCGAGGTGAGTCCTGCTGTCAATGTTCAGAACATTTTTGAATATTCAGTTGTGGTCATTTCATAGTCAGAGATTCAGCAACAAATGCCTACTGTGACCACAGATTGTATATAAAAAAGGCCGTTGCCATCTGTAGCCATTACCGAAGCCCTGGAAAAAGGCCAGAAGTGTTCCCAGGGCTTCAAAGGAAAATAAATGACGCACAACAAGAGAAGGCACATAAGTGGTCACTATATGTGATTGACAAGTCAACTGTCCAGTAATAGCCCATGACTGCATTATCATTTTTGGATGGTCCCTTTGTGTGTGTGTGTGTGTTTTTTTGTTTTTGTTTTGTTTTTTCAACCAAAAGATATTTTTGAATGAATGTAATGTTCTATTGAATTAGGAAAAGATTTTATTTTCTCATTCCTTTAAAAATAATGTTAACCATGTGAAACTCAAATAATTCAATAATAAAAAATTATTTTCCATAAATTGTTTATTTTTAATGGAGCTACAACTCAAACAGCTGATCAGTGTACTCTAGAAGAGGGACTCTCAAATGGCGACCCGTGTTCCCCGTTAGCTAAACACCTGAAAGAAGCTTGTTTTCCTTTCTGTGTGTTCTGGTTTGGTCAGCAGGTGAAACTGTGCTGTTGTCTCCATGCCAACAATACTCTGATAGGCTGTGAGGCAGACTTAATGGTACTCTTTATCACCGTGTGCCCCCACTCTCCTGCTCCCACCTCCACGCTGCCAGGCCTTTCACTCATTGATAAATTTCTATGCCAACCTTTAAGTTTAGTATTTGAGTTCCTCGCTGTAGAATAATACATCTTCCATCCAGTTCTGATTTACAGTCTATGGCTGTGACAATTCTTTATTCTCTGACCTTAAGTCTAGCAGTTTGTATTTCTGTATGCCTTTAAGGACAACCTTATTCATTTTATTTCTGTTAAATACTTCAGCGTGGAAACAGAGTAGCTGACGTCTGTCTGTCAGCCTCTGACCTGCACTGTGCTCCTCCTTCACAGGGACGCCCATCAACAAGCGGCCTGTTCTTGGCTACAGGAACCTGAACTTGTTCAAGCTCTACAGGCTGGTGCACAAACAGGGAGGCTTTGACAATGTGAGCCACACTCTATCAGACCTACCTCACAATGTTGTTCAGAAGTTGCTGAAACCTGCTTGATGTTCATTGACTTTTTCTGTCTCCACGTTTGGACAGATTGAAAGTGGCGCCATTTGGAAGCAAATCTATCAAAACCTGGGCATCCCTGTGCTTAACTCGGCCGCTGGCTACAATGTCAAATGTGCTTACCGCAAGTACGTACAAGCATGGCCTCTGTAGTCTTTTTCACTTTGTTACCCTCATTTGATTTAGACATTCAGATCTTAAATTTTGGTATAAAACATTAACATTTTCTTACCAGGCTTTTAAATTTTGGTATAAAACATTAACATTTTCTCATTAGAATCATCTCTGTTTGAATGAAGATTTTAATGCTTAATAGGAAAATGAACTTAACACAAAACTCAAATTCTATCAAAGTTGATATTTGCAAACATATGCAAAACTGCACATAGATTACGAACTTACATTTACCTTACATCAAATCTTTGGGACCTGGCTAACTAATCTTTTGCTGTAATGTCACTACATACTTTCTTGATTTAAAAAAAGGATGTTTCTCAATGGGAGAAAGCATAGGCCTGTCACCATCCACAGATAACATGGTTAAAAGATTGAGAATATCCTGAGAAATCTCTGTGTAAACCTGAATGTGTAACAGGCTTCAGGCATTGGGTGATGCTGAATTAGAAACTGTTGTATTACTGTTAATGACATAGCCAGATGGGCCAGTGATTACTTAAATGAATTAGTGCCCTCCCCCATTCCCACACCCTGTGTTAGACTGTATCATGCGAAGGGGAAGCCAAATAGGTTGTCATTATTTGAAGCTAAGCTCATCAAAGATGAATGAAGAGACAGTGACAATGTTCAGATGCCATATGGGTCCAGATTTAACTTCTTTATGGAGTGGGTAAACTTATGAGTGGGCCAGAACCAATTTGAGTATTAATTTATAGTGGAACAAAAGTAGTCAGTAGAAAACAATGGATATAATTATTTTTAGTCTTTTTGGTGGGTGGGGTATTTATTAAAAATGTGTCTTCATGCAGGTACTTGTATGGATTTGAGGAATACTGCACTTCCACGGCCATCTCCTTCAGGATGGACCTCCCTTTTAAGGCGCCTCCCAAAGTGGAGGTTAAGTCTGAGGTGGAGGTAGTAGAAGCAGCTCCATCATCCTCCAGTTCAGAAGAGCATAAACACCAGGAGGATGCTGAACCCTGCAGTGCAGTCTCAGTGGTCTGCAAGGTAAAATCTCTCAAATGCTTTTTAACTTAAAAACAATTTATACACATGAATATATTTAAACAAAAGCGTCCCTGTCTTTCAGGAGGAGACACCTGATTTGGCACAGAAGAGTCAAATGGAGTCAGAGCCATCAGAACCATCCGAGACAGAGGAGAAGGATGATGCAAACGATGACAGCGATGAAGAGAGCACAGGGCACAGGAGAGATGCAGACGAGGGCTCATCCAAAGCTCACCTCCCGGCTGAGGACCTGAAAGAAGAGCACAGCGAGGAGCAGGAGAGCAAGGACAACTCTGGGTAGGTGGTCTGGAGGGACAGCCCTCCCCAGAGGAAATCCTTTTTCTGTTTATATATTGTTTATCCTCATGGGCTCACTCGTGGGCTCATTGCTGGACCAATGTCGAACAACACTTTGACAGAAATTCATTGATAAATACCCTTGCAACTTAATGGTACTAACATGCTGAATACCCACAATCCACCTCTCCTTGCTAACCAAAGAGGGAAGCTCCCTCTTCCTACTTTCACTCTCTCTCTCTCTCTGTCTCTTTTTCTTTTTTATGACTACAGACTTAGTTTACTATTTAAGACTTTATAATTTAATATTATTTTTATAATTAATTTTCCATTAGAAAGATTACAAATTGCAATGAGCTGCAGAGGCTGCTAGCTAATGGTTCTTGGTTATTGACTGTAACTAGACTTTCCTTAATTTATCTGATAGCTTTGATAGTGTTTGGTGAAGTTGTTTGTTTCCTTCGTTTGAATTCTTCAGTTTTTGTTTTCAGGATTTTCACATTTCCTTTTTATAGCATTTAATGGAAATATTTAACCATTAACACCATTATTGAAAAGTATTGAAAGTCATTTTAATATTTGAACACAGTCTTTGCCACTGTCCACATTTTTCATTGTTGTCTGGACCAAATGACTCATCGATTAATGGAAGAAAAAACTGAAATATCATCATAAAAATAAACCCGTTTCAGCCCTTCCCATCAGCCTCTCTCTCTCTCCCTCTCTCTCTCTCTCTCTTTCTCTCTCTGCCATGTAACCAAGCTGTGACTCCCTGCCCTCTCTGTGCTATCATCATTTTTGTGGCTTAGTCGATGGGCATCAGCTGGCAAAGACATCTTACAGCACCAAATCCTCACTGCTACTCTTCACCTATCGTGCTCTTTTCTCTGTCTGTCCCTCTATTTCTCTCCCGGGTCAAATAAATTGCTGCCACACGAAACTTACACACTGCACAACAATTCTTACTGCTCATCTTTTCCCCAAATGTGGAAATCAATCTGTCTCTCTACCTTTCCTTTTTCTCATCTTTTTGGCTTTTTGACGTTTTTTTGTTTTTTTTTTTGGCTTTTTTAAAAATGTTATGTGTCTGTGAGTGTTGTCCCTGCATGAGCACAGGAGATGTCAGGTAGTGTTTTAGAGGCAGTAACCTTTAGAAGGAGAGGGGAGCTCTCAGTGCTGGTAATTATATGTTCTGGCCTGGTGAATTGTATGGGGATGGTCAGATGTCTTTCCCTCTATTGTTTCCTGTCTGTTGCATGCGGATCAGTGCTCTCTGTTTGGTATGGACCTGCTGTACCTCAGGCTTGTTACAGTTGTTCAGTGCAGCCAGGGCCTGCTAAAACATGCTTAGTTTGCTGCGGTTCTTGTGTCCAACCATCGAGTGCCATTAACACACACTTCACTGCTCTTTGAATCGCTCCCTGTGTAGCCATTGCCATCAATGGTGATGATTATGATCACTGAGATCTGTGTAGTTTCTGACCTTCTGGATGTTCATTTCGCTGTGGTCAGGATCACTAGCCCTCTCAGGTGACGTGGTCATGTGACTGTTATCAAAGTCACACAGCCAACAAGCTGATGTGACATCATCTGAGCCCTACTAATGGCAACATACAGGTTTGATGGTAGTAGTTGGTAATTTAGGGTAACCCATTTTAGGTGTTCCCACACTTGAAACATTTTCTAAGCCATCTTAGAAACACAACAGAACCAGTGTTTAACTAAGTTAATAAAACAAAACTGTGATTTAAGACAATTGTAATTCGAATAATATTCTTAATTGATAATTCTGTTTGTGGATCAATCGATTCGGCTCTTTGCAAATATTTTTAGCAATCTTGTAATGTTTGCATGTTGTGTCAACAGTTCTCTTGGCTGAATACTTTGTCTGCTGACTTCTTCAGTACCCTAGAAAACCAGTCTCAGTCTCTTAGCTTAAGAGCGACCTTGCTAATCTTAATGCTACATAATTCTCTGTGTCATTGTTGCAATGCTCAGTCTTGCCACACAGTATGATTTGTAATATGAAACTGCTTTAGCTTTTCGTTGACAGTTTTAGTTTCAGTCAATAATTCTTTGAACTGCTAATTAAAATGATTATCATTAGCATTTTCATTGTCACTGGTTGATCATACACCTCATTATGATCTGAGAAAATGTCTGACTCTGTGCAAGTACTTGATATATAAAGGCAGCAGGGAGTTGGAACAATAATAAAAGTTTTAGTTCTTTTCTTAAGTTTGAGCAAATTATATTCTGTAAATTGAATTTTTTTAAATGAACTACAAGCTATACTTGAGCAAGCATACTTGAGTTTTTTTTTTTGTTGCTGTGCTGTATATTAATGATGTTATCAACAGGCTCAGTCAGTGTGTAGTAATTGCCAGTCTTGGCCTAAGTACAACTCATGTTTTACCTTTCTTGATGAAGCATACTCAGCTAATTTGTAATGAAACTACCGCAGCCTTTTTTCCTCGTTGCATAATGATGGGTATGGATTAACGTTTTTGTTGCCTTGATTATGATGACTTCATAACTCTCGATGTTAGTGATGTTCTCATTGATTTTCTCAGGGCTCGAGCTAAATGATTTAACTTTATTAATGTTTTGTCGATATATTATTTGGTTTGTGACTTCTGTTTTGTTTTATATAATTGAATTTATTGAAAACACATTGTTGGTCAAGACATTTAGCATCTCCAGAAACTTGAATCTGCAGGTAGAAAACCTATAGTGTGTGTGTGTGTGTGTGTTTGTGTGTGTGTTTTTGACATAGCTGTACATTTGAACATTTTGAGAACAATACTGTTGTTGTGGGGACACGTTTGCTCCTGTGGTGACATTTTACAGGTCTCCACTGAGTGAGAGGAGATTTAATATGGGGGAAGACATAAATCAGGGTTAAGTTAGCGTTAGGATAAGGATTTACATGTGTATTAGTGTACATTAGGATAAGGGGCTGGAGAAGTCATGTTGTTTATAGGCATATGTTTTGTGGGTGTGAATGTGTGTGTTAGAAAGGCAAAGAGACAATTGATGTGTTTCATAATGGTCATTACAGAGAGGTAGGCCTGGATAATATTATAAATCATGATTACATTATTTCATACTTTGGTAGAGGTAAACATGAAAGAGAGGATTTCCTGTATAGTTTAATAATTAGAGTATTGCATACTTGTACTAAGAAATACAATTATCAAATCCCAGGATTTTTGTAGAGAAAATCCTACCTGTGAGCTACTGTAGTTTGAAGTACACTTAATTAATGATAGTCTTTCAGACATAGTACTTGACTTTTTGGCTTTTTTAACTCCCGTGTCTACTACATTGTTATATTTATCCTTCACTTAGTCCAACATAGTTAGATTTTTTAACCAGTGCAGCAGCTGTTTGAAAAATTGTGATTGTGTTTTCTACTCACACGTGTCCAAATACGGATGTGCTGACACGCTGCCTATCACTCCACTGCCATCTAGTGTCAGTCCCAAAATGGAAAAGGTGGGGTCTTGTGTGTCAAAAGTTCATCTATGGGAGTTTTGTTAATTTTTGTTGATGTGTGACCTAAGTGATGTTTTAAATTACCTTTGCACATTTTATTTTTAGAGGCGGTGGCCATGTGTCTCAGTGGTTGTAGGCTGGCCAGTGTTTCTGTTGGTCACATGTGGATTGCTGCACAAATCTTCTTGTGCCTTAGTTGAAACGACCTGCTCTGAGCACTTGGATGAAGGAGATTGTGTTGAGGAGAGGACTGTGGTTGTGTTTGTTTTGTTTTTGGTAGTAGACCAAATTAGTTACTGCTGTTGTGCTTCATCAGTGTTGTAGTCTTGCTTGTAGTTACCACGCTGCCTGCCAAAGCTGTGCTTTGCTGTGCTAACCTGCCCCTGTGGCCCCTGTGGCCCCTGAGCCTAAACAAATTACTGAAACTACTTCACTGCTCATACACCCTCCAGCTTCCACATATCCTGACAATTTCTCACTAGCTCCTCCCTGTGGCTGTTCTGTTTCCTACACTACAATGACTGTCCATATGCTGTTGTGTAAATAGTGAGGGTTAGGTAGCTGAAGGGTAGTGTCATTCCTAATGCAAGATTTTATTTGCCTTGAGAGAATGTCTTAATCTATTGTTTTTGACAGGCGTAGTGTAAGCTATTGAGTTGTTTATGTTGCAGTTTGCCGTATATAAAATTGGATTAGGACAAGAGTGTAAATGTAATGTTTTTTTAGGATCAGGGCCCAGAGTTGTAGTTAGAAAGAGTGGCACAAAAACAGGGAAAACCCCAGGCTTTAATGCAGCAGGTAGTGATGGTGGGTGGCTCTGGTTGGGGAGGTTGTGTGGTGTTTAACGGGTCAGCCTAGGGTCAGAAGGTGCTGAACTGTTTTTCTTGCAGGGATGACAGCAGTCAGGAGGGGGAGGAGGGGGAGGAGTTTGAGTGTTACCCCCCGGGGATGAAGGTGCAGGTGAGGTATGGGCGAGGCCGCAATCTGAAGACGTACGAGGCCACTGTGAAAGAGGCAGACGTGGAGGGGGGAGAGGTGCTCTACCTGGTGCACTACTGTGGCTGGAACGTCAGGTAAGACAGGAGCTGGGAAAAGTCGACCTAATGTCTTTATTCACCCTAAAGAAAAAAAAGAGCATCTTTTAAACCTGCAACCAAAGACAGGGAATCACTTCTACACGGGTGTCCCAGCAGCAGCACATTCTTTTACACAATTCAGCTTCACCTAATCCAGTCTCACAGTCAGTACTCTGACCAAGGGAACACTGGGCCATCTAGTGGTGGTAACAGAATTCAATTTTGACTTGGTGCAAATCAATTATTAGTTTCCCTTAGTTACCCAATTCAACTGAACTCCCTGCCTGTCTGTCTCTCAGCTGTCTGTGTCCTAGATGAAGGTACAGACAGTACAACAGACTGAACATTCATAGATACTCAAATGTTGTCTTTTAAAGTGAGCCCCCCCTTCTCTGAACTCTCTAAAAGGCCAACCTTAGTCCTGCTCCACTCACCTCTACCTCTCAACCTCTCACCCCACATCCCCCTCCCCAGTGGGTCAGGGTTACTGCGGTGTTACCTAGGGTGTTAGGGTACTACAACCACAGAGGTTTCCTAGAGCACTCAGCATTCATCGTCTCAGTGTTGTGTTGTCCTCTCCCACTCTATAACACGGTGGGTTGTTCTTTGCATTGTGTCCTGTCCATTTGATACTGTGAAATGTTTCATTTCCTTCATACAACACAAGTACTTCACCTTTGGTACTGTTGGACCTTTGACGAATATGACTTGTGTGGTGGTTGGTGTTACTGTTTCTTTGTCCTTCGTAAGGGTTTTTTTTTTTTTTTCTCTTCACAAGAGTCACATTTTCTCCTGTGCTCCTTAGGGTCACAGCAAAATGTTGGGGTCAGACAGTAAAGGCCTCTGTGTGATGGGTGCAGTGAAGAGTTTGAGTTCCTGTAAAAGATCAAAATGATGTAGTTATGACCTGTCTTTGCACTTGGATTTAGATATGATGAATGGATCAAAGCAGACAAGATTGTCAAGCCTGCCAATAAGAATGTACCAAAAGTAAAGCATCGCAAAAAAATAAAGGTACAGTTTGGAGAAAGTTTTACAAATTTTAAGCTGCATGTTGGTTTGACATCATGGACTGATTGCTGAATGTTCTAAATTCTACCAGAACAAAGCTGAGCGGGAGCGAGACAGGTTGGAGCAGCTCAATGACAGAGAGGTCCTCGGCCCCGTGTCCAACACTAACCGTGTCCATCGCTCTAAGTGTGGCCTGAGTCAGGATGTCTTCTCCAGGATGGACGAGGGTGAGGACAAAGGGACTCCCGTGAAGTCTATAGAAATTACATCCATCCTCAATGGTCTGCAAGGTAGCAACACACATCAGTCTGTAGCTCTGTTAAACTCTTAGAACTGTTTTAGAAATAATGTTTGCATTTTGCTCCTGCACACTAACTGCTCGTCCTGTCTGCTTGGCCTCAGCCTCTGAAATGTCCACAGATGAAAGTGAACATGAGGATGAAGAGGGAGAGCACAATGAGCCAGACCACCCAGGCAGCAGGGGCAACACCAAGAAATCTCCACTGGAGTCGACACAAACATCAGAAACCTGGGAGAACAGAGCTCCGCCTGAAGGTTCCAAATCTCCATCGGTCTCAGGAATCAACCAAGACGTCGTTGGTGCCGAAAGCACAGATGCTGGAAAGCGCCGGAATCAGCCTGAGTTAGACGTAGAGGTCAGCACTAGGAAGAGGAAATCTGACAGTGCAGCAGAAAGGAACCTGAAAGGACAATGTAAAGCTAAGACAAGGAACACCAGGAGTGCTGACTGGTTGCCTGGAGGCTCTCCAAAGAAGATGGAGGAGAGAGTGTCAGTTCCTGGTGGGGAGAGAAGACCCTCATCTAACAGCAGTTCAGACTCTGAGGGAACAGCACCAGTGGCATCCCAGTCTGAGGAGACACAACGAAGCCTCCCAAAAACCAAAGTTTCCCCTTCTAAGAAATACAATGGGATTAAGGAGAAGTCCAAAGGTAGCAGACAAGCAGCATTCTGGGAGGTTCCAGAAAAGAGAGCCAAAACATCTGGGAATCCTGAGGAAAGAGCCGCAGTCCGATCTAAAGGCCAGAAGGACGTGTGGTCCAGCATCCAGGCACAGTGGCCGAAGAAGACTCTGAAGGAGTTGTTCTCTGACTCAGACACTGAGGCAGCCAATTCTCCTCCTCCGCCTGTGCCTTCATGCTTGGAGGAGCAGGATATTCAACAGGATGCTGGAGCTGAAGATGAAGCCTCAGAGCAGATGGACAATGACAAACTACAGGAGTTCCCAAGCAGTGGCAGTAACTCGGTACTCAACACACCCCCGACGACCCCAGAGTCGCCCTCTGGAGGAGGCAGTGCTTTGGAAGATTCTGTTCAAGCACAGGCCTCATCTCCACAGCCGTCTACACCCCCTGTTCTCCCCTCTGAGACTGTTCCAGATTCTCTTCCTCCAGCACCCGGACAGGAGGAAGTGGCAGGTGGGCGCAGTGAGACGGACAGCAGCACGGTGGAGGTAGAGAGTCTGGGTGGGGAGCTGCAGGACCTCCCTCAGGAAGAAGGGGCGGGTTTCCCCTCTAAGGTGTTCGAGGTCAACCTCTCCTGCAACAACAGCAGCAGTAGCTGCAGCCTGGAGCTGAGCAGTAACTGCCAACAGGAAAATGAGCAGAAATCCAAAGGTGAACACACATGCAGATTGACGATAGTTTGAAATTAGAGATTACAGGAGAATACAGTGTCGGGATTTTCTGAAAGAAATGCTAATTTATGAAAATGACAAATTTTTTTTTTTAATTGATTGAAACACTACAAATACTTGGGGTAAGAACTGAAATATAGTTACTTTTGTTATGCTCTTTTATTTTTGGAAACAGAAAAAAAATCAAAAACCTGGTGCCAAGTTTGAATAATTTTAACAGGTTTTCATTCAAGTTTGGTTTAAAATTTTACATTTTCATTTTTGGCAGTTAACAAATCTGATCAAATGAAAAACAAAAACACAACTTTGGATAAAAAATAAATTTATTTCATGATAAAATCTGTCAAAACTTTGATGCCTGAGAAACGTCTTAAAATTAGGCATGTGTTTTACTTATATCACCTGTAGTAGGACTTTTTGACTTGTCTATGCTGAGAGCTGATTTTACAGTCTGTCTGATCCAAGACTTTTTTTCTTTCTCAGCATCTGTGAGTCAGAAACGGCAAAAAGAGCCCCAGACAGGTGGAGCCTCAAAGAAACATAAGCCAAACCGCAAGAGCCTAGGTGTGCCTCCAAAAAAGAACAGGAAAACAGGTAAGAAGAGCTACAGGTATGATTGCTGATTTTCTGTCAGAATTACCCATTTGCTCACCCTTTGAGAAATGGGAGATCGTATCATTTTTGTTGGAGCCGTTGTTTCCCTCTGATCGTTGTTGTCTTCTGTCCCATGCAGCCAACAGCAGTGACAGTGAGGACCAGTCTGTTGCAGAGGGCACTGCCAAATCAACTGCCTCAAAGAACAACACATCAGAAGTTAAGGCTGCCACTTCACCCAAGTGTCATGGTCGTTCTCCACCCTCGAGCCATAAGTACCACAAGCAGGGTGACACCGATCACAACCAGCACAGAGAGAACCACGGAAGGTCGCCACGTGTTTACAAATGGAGTTTCCCGACGTGTAAGTCTCACAAAATGTCAAATCTACGTCGGTTCACACTTTAGTCAAACCTACGGATCATTCTCAGTGTGTGTGCAGACATGTGTCTGTGTCCTGTTAAATATATTTATACATTATATTTATGATTTATCTCAGCTGAGCTGGAGAAGATGAGCAGTCTGGAGAGGATTTCATTTCTTCAAGAGAAGCTACAAGACATCAGGAACCACTACCTCTCCCTCAAGTCTGAGGTGGCGTCTATCGACAGGCGACGAAAGCGCATGAAGAAAAAGGAACAAGAAAGTGAGTCAGCACTTTGATCACCTTAATGGTTACAAGACCTAAGGTGTACCAGTCTTATACTGTTCATACAAATTCAAATTCAATGAACTCCTCAGGGGACACGTCATTTATAAAATTATAAGCAGCACTCATTTTAATCCAGTGCTTTAATCAATGTCCACTGAAGGAATCACGTGTAACGGGGCTGACATTACACTTAATGGACCTCTCAGAGTCAAGAACACTTTGTCTCAGTCTACTGTACATGTACATGACTGACCATAAACAAGTCTGGTGGTCTTTTGTTTCAGGCACAGTGGCAGCTTCCTCTTCGTCCTCCTCCTCTCCCTCCTCCAGTTCACTGACTGCAGCTGTCATGCTGACACTTGCCGACCCACCGGTCTCCTCCTCGTCCTCTTCCTCCTCTCAGAACTCTGGGGTTTCAGTGGAGTGCAGGTGACAGGACCAATCAGCAAAAAGCCACTGCACCTTGCACTTAACCAGCACCCTGGGCTGTCTGCCCCCTTACCCTTCCGACAGGATGGACATTTGAACCTACATACTGTAACTTCTGGGGTACAAAATCCAGACCAGTGACAAAAAACAAGAAACAAGCACTATTTTCTATTGACAACTGTTTCCTCGGCAAGCTAATGGCACTTAAGTGCACTTTTATGAAGATTGTGTAGTGAGGAGGGTGTGCTGGAATTTGTCAAAAAAGAATCTCCAAAATTGTCTTTTGAGTGCTTCGTAATTGAACATTTTTAAGAGTTATTTTTGTGAGCAATAATTGTTTCTAGTTTGGGACGCTGTGTTGGTAAGGGGGGGGTTTCCCCTCTGTATTTTGCTCCACCATGATACGCCTGTGATTGGGACTTTAGAGGTGCACTGCCACATTGGCATAAAGGGTGTATAAACTGTTTCTCTGACATTTGTCCCCTGTTCACCCACATTCAAAGGCCTTTAATTGGTAAATTCTCTAGTGATGCCCTCCTTAAATACAGGCACACCATTGTGTGCTTTTTATGGGTTTCGAATCATCATCAGTCCAGTGACTGCAGTGAATATGTCTGTGAATATGGGACGAAACTGTAGTGCCTTTTTGTGCTTATCCATGGGGCACATTGAGAAAAGACAGCACCCCCTATCTCCTCCCCCGACGACTCTTCTAAAATAAGAGGGTCAACTAAAATAATGTGTCCCCCAGAGAAGGAGTGAATCACATTTTACATGTGAGTGCGTTGGCAGTGAAGGGCTGAGTCTGGTAGGGTTTTTTATCACTGTATGGTTATATTTCAGAAGGTTTAGTGGTAAGATGTGCATTGGTGGAGTCAGTGAACACATCAGTGGCATTAATTCAGTGCATCGGCCTTTTAAAAGCCCATCTGCTTTATTTTATGTTTCCATCACCCGTACTATCCCTGCGTTTCAATCATCCTCACCCAAGATTCGATGGTGCACATCTGTAACTGGATCATTTAAACTTGAGTTGCAGATGGAAATATTTACTGCATGAACTCCATGCACATCGTCAGTGTTTCACAGCACATGAAGTTATTTAAGAACACTTTTCTAGCCTCATAAAATAACATGCAGCATCTCCTTCTAATTTCACTCCTGATCAGTAACGAACCTTCCTCTCGTATCCATCCCTACCAAATAAGCTTCATTCAGCTCGCCAGTACTTTGACCACATTAAAGGTAAATATGTAGTAAACGTGCATTTATATCACAAAGTGACATATATGTATATGTTTCTGAAGACATCTCCGGTGTTTCCCTTGTACAGACCCCGCCTACTGTATGATAACCAGAAGTTGTGTTTCGTTTAGCACTTGTATGTAATTGTATGCTTTTGTTATACTACATTTGTATATTGAGAAGTGTTTTGAGTCGAGCTATTTAATATCTTGCACTGTAATAATATGTACCTTTCTGTACAGACAGTTTTACAGTTTTAACTGTAGTTTGTGTGTAAATACTGAGGGTCACAGCATGTTCGTTCTCCTTCGTCCCCATCCTTTCTTTTCTAGTACCGAACAGATTTATTCTACCTTGTTTTCCGTTCTGTCTTTTTCCGTCAGGTTCATAGCGTCATTTCTGTCTTCTGTTTTTCTCGTGTCATGATTAGTTTTCTTTTCAGTTCTCTTATTTTCCTATAGCTCTTGCTTGTACGTGAAGATTGGCGGTTTAGGTGCGGCTGAACTATTTTCTGATCTATACACGGCCTGAAGCTACAGCTGTAAGAATCTGTACATGTACAAAGGTCAGGATCACAGATAAAGAGAAACTAATGGAGCTTATTGAAAAAAATCTCAATAGTATTTATTAGGCTCATCTTATGATGGTCATTGTGTAATTTATTGTAAAAATGTAAGCAAAGCAGAAGCCTCTGTTTGAAATAAATGCCATAGTTTGTGAAGTACTCTGTGTCAGGTTCCTGTTCAAATGTACATACACTTTGTTTTAGAATTTTTGAATCCCCTTATCACTATTGGTTTTATTTTACTTAATCAACTAGTCATTTGGTTGACTTTAAATGATCCAAATCCCAGGTGATAATGTTTATTAACCAACATTTTGGGGCAACACACCAGAGGTAATCAGTCTAATGGCATGGAACTAAAACAAATTATATATAACAAAATGATTACGTTTCATGTTGTCAAATACTCCCTGATTTAAATATTGCATAATATATTAAGCAAGGAGAACAACTGGCCAATGCAGAAAAACGACCATCAGGCCTTTTTCTTGAAAAGTTTGGGTTCAATGATTGAATGAACCTAAAATTGTGCTACTTCTCACGTGAACGTCGTGGCTTACGCCGTGCTGTGACGTACTTCCTTTGCAGAATGCGAACTTCCTGCAAGCTGACGTGGTGCTGCTACGCTTCCGCTCCGCTGTGCGTGGTGTTGCCCATGTGCAGTTTCTGCAGGCACGATGGGCAGTAAGGCGGGTGCTGTGGTAGCAGGGCTGTGTGGGGCCGTTTTCCTCGCCTACTGTATTTATTTTGACAGAAAGCGGCGGAGTGACCCTCGCTTCAAGGAAAAGCTGCGTGAACGTAAGTATTACTGGGAGGGAATGTTTGGAGTTAGCAACTTAGCATAATACCTGACTAATGGCGCCTGTTAGCACAGTTAGCTCCGTCTGTGTAGGAAATTGCTGCAATGTATTTGCTTAACATGTTTTCACAATCGTGTTTAATGATTTGTGTTTTTAAGCAGTGTCTTTGTAGCGTAAGTGGTCAGCATTATGAAAGTAGTAACTAATGCAAACGCTTTATTATTTCTAATTTCTAACAGCAGTTAGCATTAGCACACTACTTAACTTGGGACAACGTGTGAACAGCTATATAAACTCACAACCGCATTTTATCTCCCCATATTTCCACACAGGTAGACGGAAGCAAAATGTTTCAAGTGCCAAGTCTGGACTGGCAAAGGTAAACCAAACGTCAAATCGTTGTTTTTTCCACAAATGTACGTGTTAAATGAGGTGATATTTCGTATTCATGACATTTTCTGTACTGACTTTGAAGCTCCCTGACTTGAAGGACGCGGAGGCCGTTCAGAAATTCTTTTTGGAGGAAATTCAACTTGGAGAGGAGCTCCTTTCACAAGGTAAAACTCAGGGGTTTATTCGATGACCTTGCAACTGTGAGAAGTTTACTTTGGGAACAACTTTTTCTGTGTTTTATATAGTTAACTTTATTTTTAGGTAAATTGTTTGTTCTAACATCCCCTTGATATGCATGTTTTTCCCCCCCAATACTTACTGGGGTTACGTATATAAATATTTGCGTTTTGTTGGTGCATACTGATGTTTTTTTCCCGTGCATGCTTTTGTCATCTTAACATTGCTTAAATCTGTTTTACTGTTCTACAATTTGTGTGAATAACCCTTCATTTCCTACCCGACTCTAATTTTCAATTTTTTTTATATAACCCAGGAGAGTTTGAGAAAGGTGTGGATCACCTGACCAATGCCATAGCTGTTTGTGGTCAGCCACAGCAGCTGCTACAGGTGCTACAGCAAACGCTGCCTCCTCCAGTCTTTCAGATGCTGCTCACAAAACTGCCCAGCATCAGCCAGGTAAGAAAGAGTCGTACTTTTTTAAAAATAATAATAAAATTAAAATCAATAGTGCCTCAAAGCATCCTCTTAAACCCCCTGGTTTCCATTTTTGGTCTCTGGGACTAGGAAAGGATGCTAGATTAATTTTAGAATTATCCAAAACTGGGAGTTTATTCAATAACTCCTGGTTATTTCACCTCTAAGACAAATGCTGATCAAGCTGATTGTTGTGATTTTTTTTGTTTTTTTTTTTGTCTAATAAAAGAACAATGCAATGTTGTCTTGTGTGTTTTTGCATCCTTGAATAGTTTCACAATGTGTCAATGTCGTGATCATATGCTTGTTAAGAAGCGCAGTTGCAAAGGTAGCGTTGGTTGCGTTGGTTGTTGTAGCAGTTTTGCAATGTAGGCCGACAGGTTGTCAATATGTTGTGTATTGTGTCTGGGTTCAGTTTTATATACAAGATGTTTAAAGATCCCTTTGACCTGTGCATGTTAACGTTCCCTGGAACAGTCATTGTTGATGTTGCCTACTTGTTGTGTTGTTGTGTGATGAGCTGCTTAAAGAGTTGTTGTGATATCTTCAATTTTGTGTCATTTTCAAATATGCAGAGTTACTTGTGTTTTGCTAATTCCCTGAACTTTGATACCCAATGTCTGAAAGATATATTTAAATATGTTTCTGTTTTTTCAGCGAATCATCAGTTCTCAGTCTTTAACGGAAGATGACGTGGAGTGATGTGTGAGAAACAGCTGGTTCTCTATCATACTGTTTAAGACACTGATATCAGGTGACTACCACTGCACTACCGTTTAAACAACTGTATCATAGTTGAGGCTCATGTAAGAGATAAACACATTCCATCTTGCCTTGTTTCAATCACATATCATTTCTTCTATTTTTTTCTCTATTTATTTTATGTTTTGAGAAGTGTTGCTGATGTGTTGGCTTAAAGCTGAGAAAATAGTCAAATGTATGACGTTCCTTACCTTAAAATGTGTCTGATGATTAACATTCAACATGTTTCTTTCTAAGAGTGTGTGTGTGTGTGTTGTGGGTACTGGTGTGAATAGGATGTGGAAGTTTTCATGCAATATCACTTAAACTTTATTTTTATATAACAGTGGAACATTATGGAAGTTCTTGTGTTTAAAATCCTTCAATAAAATATAAAAAACACATTCCTGACCTTTATTTTAGCCGCTAGATGGCAGTAGCAATACACTGAAGAACCTGAAACCCCAACAGTTGTCTTTTAAGTGTAGGCTCATTTTTCAATGCTTGAAGGCTGGAGTTGTTTTGCCTGAATTGGAAATGTTGTTCATATTTCAAGGCTGTATATTATTTCTGAAGTCTGCGCAAGGATGAAGGAGGACTGTTATCACGGCACTGTGTTGCTTAAAATAACCAGGGGTTGTAATGTGGTTAAAAATGTATCTTGACCTTCAGCGTAAAAAAAAACACAATCCAGGACACTGGTTAATTTTGTAAATGTTGACAAGAAATGAAAGCTGAATTAGTCAGAGTATGGGCTTAGTTTACAAAGAGTTTGCTCAACCTTCTTTTAGTGTTTCCTTTTTTTTTTACCTGTCGTCTGTTTGTTGTGAATGGCTGTATTGTGTTTGCTGGGGAGTGAAAGTGGAGCAGCTCGTGAGAAAAGGGAGTAGGTCTGGTTGAAAGTGTATTTCTTGGATGACAAATAGAGCTCTAATTATTTTTATCCTCGACTGCAGCTGTTTTTCTAAGAGCTCTGGCCAGAGCAACCCATGCTTCGCTGTTGCCAGGAAAAAGAGCGAGGGGAAAATAGTTTTTCTACATTTGGAATGAAAAATGAATATTGAACGTCGGCCCAGAAATGTCGGGTGAAGACTAAATGGTAGACACTGTTCCATTTTCCATGAACTCATGTGCTCACTCTGCAGACTTTTCTACAGCGCTCCTGCTCTTGAAGCAGTGGGTGGAAAAGGAGAAGCTGTCAGTGTTGTGCACAGTCGCATGGTCCCACCCCCCACCCCAAAAGACGAGTGTGAGCAGAAGAAGTGGCCCATTGTGGGTCTGTCTTTTGGGGGTGGGGGTCAGGGCAAGAAAATAACAGCCTGTGTTGGAGGTCAGTCTGAAGCTGTGGTTGGCTGCTGGCACCGGGTGAGGAACAGGTTTAGAACCCTGCACAGAGTGAAACCACCAGCCTGCTCCTTCTGTAAATAAACATTCAGCTGCTCAGGCCCCTGCAGACTGAAGGTCACTGAAGGATACCAGATCAGTTGCTGTCTGCTGTGAAAGCACATCATCAGTAAACAGAAGCTGACACGAGGACATGGCCTGTTATTTAAGCATGACGCAGCAGATTTATTAGCTTGCAGTACAAAACTCCTGTCCTGCTAAATACCCTAATGTCTTTAATATTAGTCATTTGTCGTTGATTTTCCTTTACG